AAAAAAAAAAAAGAGTTCCCTGAAAAGAGAGGAAGGAAGAAAGGGAACAGAGCTGGCCCAGGTCAGAGGGGAAGGAGGCAGTAACCAAATGAGGGTAAACCGTCTTGGTGAAGAGAGAGTCAGATGGAGGAGGCTCCCAGAGTGGGGAGACAAGTTGAGGGTGGGGGTTGGGTTCGGAGAGACTGGAAGGCTGGGACAGGATGGGGGTTCCACATGGGGCTGAGGGCCGGGCTGTGACAGAAGAGCAGAGGAGCAGACTTTAAGGATAGGAAGAGAGACAGGGGTTCTGGCAGCCTCCTCCAGGCTTCGGGAGCAGGTGGTCGGGTCACTCACGGCAGAAGGTGCCATTCCGCCAGGAAGGGGCCTGGCCGGCATGGGCACACAGGGATGCATAGGCCTGCAGGGAGCGGCACAGGGTCAGGGTGTCCCCCTTGGTCCCACACTGGCCATACACACAGCTGGCGAAGCTGGACTGGGGAGGCACCACCCCGTGGCACTGAGAGAAGGGTCCTGGAAGATGAAACAACGTAGGTGTGAGGGCAGAGAGTCAGCTTGGAAGGGGAAAGAACCACGCGGCTGCCCTGCAGTGCATTCAACATCCATTTCAATCAAAACCCGTCATTATTGAGAAAGTACTGTCTGAGATGCAAAGAAAAAAGGTCCATCAGAGCTCCCGAGGTGAACACTGCCTCTGCCTTACCTTCCGCTTGCCTTCCCTCTGACTTTCTATTTCCTGTCTCATCCTTCCTCCCTGCTTGAGCAGTCCCCCTCCTCTGTCTCTGGCCAGGGGAGGAGAGCGCTGCGGCCACCAAGGGATGTGGCTTACCCTGAGGGTCCATTAAGACATCACAGTTCTTTTCCCAGCTGTTTGCCCCTCTGTTCTCCTGGCATCTGGAGGGCTTCGGACCCTTAGCAAAGCAGCTGAACAAGGAGAGGGGAAGGGACAGGAATTTAGGATTGGAGGAAGCTTCCCCAAAACTGAAGCGACAGTGGAGAGGGAAAATGGGAGGGGAATAAGAAGAGAACAAAGTGGTCCCTCAAGCAACAAGGTCAGAAGATGCAACAGGAAGGAAAGCATTTGGCACTCAGGATGGGATTCCCAAGGGGGCTGGCTCTCCAAAGAGACAGATGAGTAAGTGCAGAAGGCAAGCGGGGCGGCGGGGGACAACAACCTTGGGTCAGTTCGTCTCCGGAGAGATCAGGGACGCACAGAGGACCCCCCAGGCTGCCTGCCGAGGCTCCTCCCCAGCTCTGGCTCCCCGCATTCCCAGCTCACCCTGTTTCAGAGTAATCAGGGAACTTCCAGGCGACGCCCAGGCCATCCGAGCTGGCCACAGGCCTTTTGTCCAGGAGCAGATTGTCATCCAGGCTATTGTTGTTGTAGTTGCCTGGAGGAGGGTCCAGTTAGAGCCATACACCCTCTCCCAGGACCACCACCTTCCTCTTAGAAGAGACAGCTCGCTCTTCACTCAACAGACCACGGTTCATCTTTCTTTCTCTTTCCCTTTGGCCTTTTAACACCTACCCGCACGCACAAGCAGACAGGCCCTCAGGACGCCTACTGAAATCTGTGGATGAGCTGGTCTGGGACAAACTCTGGCCCATTGTCCCCACTTTGCCCGCAGATGCCCAGGGAACTCACCACACAGCCCGCAGAGCCGGCCAGCATAGGAGGAGGGCACTGTCACTTCGGCCAGATGCTTCCCATCGTAGCGAATTTGAAGCCCAAAGTCCGTGTAGAGGAGGATAAAGGAACCGCTAGGCCTTATGCTCACCCGGCCTTGTGCAGGCCACACAGGCAGGGCCACTCGGCGACCATTCAGCTACAGAGGCAGGGAGGACGCAGTAGGGAGAAGCCCTTGGGACAAGGACAACGGGGCCAGGACTAGGCAGCAGACAGTGATGGTGATGTGTCTGCGGAATTGGGGGCTGGATCTGCTGTGGGCTTCCCCCAGGGGCTCTAGAAGCCAGACAGGTGGGCCTGTGGGCAAGGAGGGTGCACAGAAGAGATGCTGGTGGTGCAGGGGCCAGGGGAGGCGGGCGGAGGCACGCACCATGACCTTGTGGCCTTTGATGAGCGAGATTCTCAGGTTGAAGATGTGCAGGTGAACGGATCTGACATAAGAGGCCTCCAAGTTCCCACCGTGAAACTCATTGGTGGCGCTCACGATGAAGTAGTTCTCTAGGGACCTAGACTGGCAAGGCCTGGTCAGGATGTAGCTGCAGGTGCCCATGAAGTGATGCAAAGCTCCGTCGAACGTCAGGTAGTGGGGGTCCCCTGAGACGGTGCAGGTGGCGGCCCCTGGGGTGAAGGAGATGGAATTCAGAGGTGCCCTGACCCTGAGCTGCTCTCTGGGCGAGTCCACATTGGAATGGGACCCTTGGCTCATCCTTGGCTCATCCGTGTGGTTGGCTCGGCCTAGAGTGGTCAAGCATAGGGACTGCCCCAACCTCACCGGGTCCACGCAGAGGCTGCTCAGGCTTGGGCCAACTGCCTTCCAGTCCCCCGTTAGACTCGGCTCTCTGGGGTGCCTGTTTTAGGGCAGAGCCATGCCCTCGCCCAAGGTCACGTGGGCAGCTCCCCCCGACCCCCACTCACCTTCCACCCGTCTGCTCACCTAGGGCATGGCAGCCATAGATGCCATCCTGCTGACGACAGACCTCCTGGGCCTGACACCTCCACTGTGTGCAGCGAATTTTATTGTTGCTCTCGCAGGTACAGAGCTGTCTGCAGCCTGGCTTGAACCACCGCTCCCCTACCTGGGGGATGGAAAGAAGAAAGGAAAGAGGTCATTCCCAGGTCTGTTATTCAGATCAGTGGGTTGCTCCCTGGGACCATTCCTGTCATCCCGAAGCTCCAGGCTTCACTGCAAGCCTGGCATTGGCTCACTTACTCAGCCATTCACTTCTTTGTTCCTTCACTTTTTCAACAGATATCTGTTTGTGCTAGGTGTTAGGGATTCAGGAATGAACTGGGTGGACAATGTTCCTGCCCTAACAGCTCATGATGGGGGGGTGGGGAGGGGGGGCAGTAAACAAGTAAACTAATGGATCAACTGTTCTAGCAGGATATGCACCTAAAGAAGACAATCAGGGGGCCCAATGAGAGTTTCCCGCCATCAACACGGACAATAAGCACGGGCTCAGGAAGTTTAGAGGAACGTCTTCTGACTTTGCTTATCAGGAAGGCTTCAAGGAGGCAGCATTTGAACAGAGCCTCAGAGGAGGTGAAGGATTCCAACAGGCACAGGTGGTGGGGGGCGGGCAGAGCAGAGATAGAGGGACTACAGACAAAGTAAAATTGAGGGGAGAGCAAGGCACAGACAGGGTATTCAGTAGGCTGACCCAGAGCTGGGCAGAGGGCTGTGATGGACGCCAGTGTCGTTCTCAGGGACAGGGCAAGGGACAGGCAAAGGAGGAAGAGAGAAACACCAGAGATGAGGGTCTGGCTTCAAATGTGCACATGGGGGTGGGGGGCCCAGAGGCTCACCTTGAAGTAGCCCACTGTGGGCTCGAGGCACCCACACTGGGAGTGGGGGACACACTGGAGACCGCTGAGGACGAAGCCCGGGTTGCACTCACAGCCCTCCACACACCGGTTCTGGCAGGCCATGCCAGAGAACCCAGAATGGCAGGTGGCGGGGCACACCCTGGCACACAGCGTGTACGTGCTATTGGGCGGGCAGGTCATTGCTGGAGGAGGGAGAAGCAGAGATGAGAAGGGCACAGGGCAGGACAGGGAAAAGGGAACGAAGGTGGGTTCAAAGCCCAGCGTTCAGAGGGCCCACAGCTAGAGGCTTCTGCCCAATCCTGAGAAGCAGAGGGTGACCCGGAGAAGGGTGACCAAGGAGCTCGGCTTCCACTCTGGGCCCAGAAAGTGGCCTGCTGGTAGCTACTAAGAGGCGGGTCTGGGGGAGCAGAAAGATCTGGGGGAGCAGACAGATCCAAACGTCTCAGCACTGCTGCTGTGTAGACATGCACTTGTCTACAGGGCAGAAGAAAAAGCCCATGAGGGCTCGATCAAGGGCACCGCCGCCTAAGCAGGCTCCCCAGAGGCCGTGAGGACACCGAGGCCGTGCAGATACACTTGCAAGCATTGCCCCGCATAGCCTCAGGCGGCCGGGGGTGCTTTCTGAGTCTGCAAGGGACTGTGATTTTTCTCCATGGCTATTTCTGCCTGCAGATTTCCCTGTGCACGTGTGGAATCAGAGGGGTTCAGCCAGGGGTCCCCCACGCCTGTGCCAACACTCAGATGCCCACCCTCTGCTCGCATCCGTGGGTGAAGGAAGGGGCCCTGCTGCGGGGCACAACTCACGGCAGAATTGGGGTCCCCTCCAAGGCTTCACGGCATAGCCAGCATCCTGGCAGATCTCAGTCAAGGCTGCCATATGGGCACACAGCACTGGCTGCAGCCCCTGGAATTTACACATGTCAAACGTGCAGCTCTTGAAGAACGAGGAGGCCTTGAGGTGAGGCAGACATGCCCTGAGGAGAGAGGCTGGGTCAGAGGAACAAGCCAGGTGCTCAGTGACCACCCTGCCTCCCGCGGCCCTAACCGGCTCCCTTCATACTCCGCGGGTGTCCAAGAGCCGTCCACAGAACTGTAGTCCCGACAGACTGTTCTGCAAGCCTGACTTGCACGAGGGAGGAACTGTGGGGTTCTTCTGGCACCTGGAAGAGACACCCCCCCCCCAACAGGCCCTGAAGGCTCGTCTCCACCC